AATTATTTAAAAGCAACCGGAGAAACCCTAGGCCCCAAACAAAGCCTGACCAAGATTTTAGCCCCTTTTCGGCCGCCGTTCGGCCATCGTTGGTCCGAGGCGCCCGGAAATTTTTTTGGTGCATCCCAGCACTGGTCCGAACCAAAGATTTCGAATTTGTGCCGGTCACATCGTGCTAAGCGTCCGTTTGGATCCGGAGGCCAGTTTTCCCTCCTTTTTTCCCGCCTTGTCTGCCATGTGCTCGGCAAAGTGGCATTTCTCAACCGATTCTCACCAAACAAACGTCGATTTGGCATGTCGCCGTCACCCCAATCTAGTCCTGGCAGTTTGGTAGCCGTAGCTCGTTGTTTTGGTGCTGTTCTGGGTCAGAGGTCAGAGAAAATGATGGATTTCAGCTGAAAACAGGGTTCTCTTCAACCTCCAGACTTGACAGTGATACTGTGTGCTCCTTGACCTCACAGGTCCATCATGTGTTCATTTCAGACAGATTGGAGCTTGTATCACAGATATGCAACCAGAAATATGTGAAATTGTGCTTAAGGGAGAGAGTGTTTCTCAATGCCAAGGAACCTCGCTTTGATGCCTTGGTCCTGGCCCAGTTGCCTATAGCTGATACGTCATCAGGAACTGCCAAGGCGTGTTCCAATGTTTTTGTGCTACGGAGGCATCTGGAGGCATCTTGCAGTTTTGACTGACTTGTCTGGGGTATGACTTGATGACAAGTCCTGTGGACAGAGCTGGGGTACAGTTTGTTCATCACTTGTAAAACTGTTTGATCCACTGACCGGGTACCTCTGCATCCAGGTATCTTTTCTTTTCAAGGCTTTAGTTTCTGTACACGATCACAGCTGTTGGAGTCTTTCTTATTCCAGTTTTCTCCACTTGCAGCTTTCTTTTGTCCTTAAGGCTGAAGGCTGGAGATCAGCTGTGGGGCGTCATCTGCTGGCAGGTCTGTTGCTGCAGTTTGATCACCGGACTCCCATCATGGTGGTGGGCGAGCCTTCGGCTGTGGATTGCTCCGCCTCTGGTTGTTCGAGCAGCTCCCTCATTTGCAGTTTGTAAATCTAGACTTGAGACACATTTCTATTCTCTAGCTTTTAACTATGCATGGTTGTCTCATGCGCAGTGTTGGGAGTAACGCCGTTTAAGTATAACGGCGTTTCTAACGGCGTTCTTTTATAGGTAACGGAATAATCTAATTAATTACTTTTCCCGCAGTTACAACGCCATTACCGTTACTGGGGACGGAAGGTTGTACGTTACTATGTGCTTGTCGAACGTTGAGCAACAGGCTTTCTGACCGCCACACTTCAGCTGCAGCCAGGGAGAGAGAGGTGTCGGCGCGCTAGGATGATGTCGACGCCAAAACAACCAAAACAAAGTGGAGACTCACCTCTCACATTAGGAAGAATCTGCGTGTTTCGAGCGTTATCCGTTCTTTCATAATCCGTTGTTGAATTGTGATCGGCAGACGCTTTTCCGGTTCGCGCCTCACGTTTTACAGCAGCGGCCCACGTCTTCTTTTATCAAAACGTCGTTTCTGTTATTGATAAGGAAATGCGTGCGTTAAGCAGCGCGGTGTGTAGAAGCTTCATCAGCTGATCAGGAGCTAGAGTAAGATGTTTTCATCCAAGAGATCACGGCCCGTGAAGAACGAGGAAGACGTGATGAATATCTACGGCTGCAGACCCCCCGCAGATTCGCTGCTGCAGGTGGGAATCTGCAGCAGCGAATCTGCGGGTCTGCAGCTGTGTCCTTCTTAGCGTGACAGCGGGACGTCCCGAAGGTCCGCTCACCTGTCCACCACTCAGACGTCCTGATCTTCTACCTTCCTAGATCATCCAGCTGTAACCTGTTCCTGATCATGTCTTTAGTCCCGCTGTAACACTGATGCATCACATCATGGAGCTCAGGTGTTATTAGAACAGTTCTAATAGAACTGTGTTTACCACCCAGCTTCAGCTCTTCTGTGGTTGGGTCTGACCCAAGTTAGTACATTTAAGTCCTCCATCAGGCTTGTGCCTCTTCTAGTGTCATTTTAAAGGATTTTATTTATTTATTTAACTGATACTAGATTACCAGCAACAGAAATGCTGCTAAAAACACACAATTATGTGAAGCTGGAAAAATTAGAATACTGTGCAAAATTACATTTATTTCTGTAATTTAACTAGACCGAGATACCATTTAAAGGCTCGGGAACCTTTACAGGTGTTTCTATTTGCAATTTTAAATTTTAGCTGATTGGGGTCTTGTTAAATATCACACAGTGACCTTCTAATAGTCTAGATAAGTGTAATGTTCCTGTTAGTAGTTCCTCCTGTTAAGTGCTTATTTATTGAAATTATTCAGGTTTATAAAAAACATTTGGACAAACATTTTATTATGTTCCAGTCATTAGTCATTTATATTTCACTATTGTAGTAATTCTTGCATTCTTAAATGAAAAAAGTAACTAAGTAGTTACTTTTGTTGGTAATTAGTTACTTTTATGATCTTGTAACTCAGTTAGTAACTGAGTTACTTTTTTGACAAAGTAATCAGTAACTATAACTAATTACTTTTTTAAAGTAACGTTCCCAACACTGCTCATGCGTCATTCTTGCTTTTATGTATTTCATTGTACTTATGATGGATATAATCTACGCAATTTAGGAAGAAAATACTGACATTAAATCCAACCGGATGTCAGAGAAAACTGTTTTTTTTTTACATTCATTTAAAGAATTGGTGCAGTCAGTTTATTTGACTAAAACTATGAAGTAGAAAAAGAAACACACACACACACACACACTAAACCGGATTCAGAGAAGATACTGGTGAATCTTCTAAAGGCTTCTGTGCGCTACTCTTATGTTTTATTAATTCTGTATAACATCTTTCACATTTCAATGCCTAAAAAAGCTCCAGGTTTAACGTGCTCTATTGTTTATCCCTTGAGAGTGTGCATTTTTATTTCTGTGCTCTCATAATAAATGTGCATGAAAAGCTTTTGAAATGGCAGTATTATTTTTCATGGCCATTCTTTCTGGGCCACATTATTTCAGACACAAAAGCAATAATGAGGTAACTTCAAGGTTCGATTGTTTCACGTGAGCGCTTTTGTTGTAGAAAAAATTCTAAAGCAACTCTGACACATTTCCTGTGATCTGTACCTTATTGGATATTATTTTACATCCAGTGATGTGTTTTGTCCAGCCATCCATCCATTGTCTGAACCCGCTTAGACCACGTAGGGTCGCTTTATTACTCCAGAATAAGGCCATGAAGGAAAAATTGAATATTAAAAGAGACACGTGACATTTTATGATGTTCTTTGCACTAAATCCGTCTCACATGATGCAATCTCTGCTGTTTTATTCTTGACCGTTTCAGTACCTTCCAGAATGAGCTGTTTCAGGGCTTATCTTGTGCTGTTTAAAGTTTTATATTCTAATGTTAATTTAACAAATATATATTAGTCTGTTTTGTCTCTTGACTCGTTACCCGCCAGCCGTTTCCTGATTTTTCACTGTTTTTTTAAGAGTCACAGAACGCTGTGCGCTATGATGATGTCAATGCCAAAACTACCAAAACAAAGAGTAGACTCACCTCTTACATCAGAAAGAATCCACACGTTTCAAGCAATATCCATTTTTTCATAATCCGTTGTCGAATTGTGATCAGCAGAAGCTTTTCCGGTTCGCTCCTCACTTTTTTTTACAGCATCGCCCAAAAACAATCTCCTAACACGTGGATTTCCTGCTTCCTGATCACATGACGTGTGACAAACGCAGATGAAGATCGGCTTTAGAGCTGGGGTGTTTGTTCTCACGGTGCGGGGGCTCGTTCCGACGCCCACACAGTAAACAAATGCAAATGACGAATTTAGTCGTCAATGGCAGTTAATGAGTTAATATCAGTCTTAGGGTTCTACAACCCCCAAGGTGCTTCACAACACAATCATTCGTTCACACATTCACACGCTGGTGGGGGTGAGCTAATGTAGCCACAGCTGCCCTGAGCCAAGCACAGACGCTACCGGTTTCCTCTAACCAACACCAGCAGGCAAGGCGGGTTAAGTGTCTTCCCCAAGGACACAACAGCAGCATTATCTGGTTGAAGCCGGGTTCAAACCTGCAACCTTCTGATTAATGGACAACCCGCTCTACCTCCTGAGCTACTGCCGGCCCAAAACATGATCTTGCCACATGTAGACCTTCCACCAGAGGGCAGTACACATGTATGGGAGTGGATATGGCTGATTTTAATGAAAGTACTCATTCTAATACAACATCTGACAGTTTTGAGGCCAACAATAGTCTAAAAGGGGGTTTACTATTTCAGTGGTATTGCCTTGAAGTGGTTCATCTATTTTTGTTGAATTTGTTTGTAATATTCATTTAGTATTACTATATTAAAATTTACTTTGCAGTGTTAGTCAACAGCAGTTGTATTTTTTACTGTGCTCATAAAAAATAATGCTATGCATGATTTAAGTTTTAGTATAGTTAGCATTAATGTTTTCAAACTATATATTTTATCATTTAGCTAGATGTCAATGTTAACATATTTTTACAAAGTAACACAAACAAATAAAACACATTAATACCTATAAATCTTGTTAATAATCTTGTTGTTTTTTCTTTTTCATTTTCAGTTCATTATCACAACCTCTGAATGTTTAATTGGCATCTTTCTTAATAATTTACCGAATGACATCTGCTAAAGGGGAATCGATGCATGAATGCATTAGTGATGAGACACATGTTTATCAATTTTTACTGAAACTTATTTTTCATGTAAATGCATCTATATGTTAATATTTTGTACTTCCCACCTGATTTTGGGCTGAGGTTTAGCTGAAATCCCTTGTTAAAACTAATCCGTGTGAGTGTTTGGGACCAGTGTGTGTGTGTGTGTGTGTGTGTGTGTGTGTGTGTGTGTGTGTGTGTGTGTGTGTGTGTGTAACGGGGTGGGGGAGAAGGAGGAGGCTGCTTGTGCTTCTTCCAGCTCACAGGCAAAGCTCACTGACCACCGCAACTCACACGCTCTGGTTTATTTATTATCAGCTCACGTCGTCACAGCAACATGACGAAAGACCAAAACTGATAAAGGTAGGATTTACCTTTTTTTCTTGTATGTTAATGTTTTTTAAAGCTGTCTGTCTCCTTTAGATTTTATACCTGTGGTGTCCATTTCAAACAGCTAACACCTTAATGTTGGTGAACTGATGAAACCACTCTAAACACAGTTAGTCCAGCATCAATGTCAGTTTATAAAGATGGAGGCACAGTTGGGTTTTTCTTTGTGATTCTTCTTTATTTATAACTTAATGTTGTGATGCAAGCAGCATGAAAAGCAACAGGGAACCAACACCATTATTATTATTATTATTATTATTATTATTATTGATTAAACGAGTGAACCATGATTTTAGGGTGATTCCTCACTTGTGCCAGCCGGCAGTTCCCTTTTTAGAATTTTCTTCAGGAATTTTTTAGTTATTAGTAGTAGTACTAGTAATGTGGTGGTTGTTGTCATTATTCATTATTGTTGTTATTATTGATTTTAATAAAATAATAAAGATAAATAGACTTTAGGTTGTGATCTGCCGCATTATTTTGTCTAAATTCTTGGGGAGAATAAGTGAAAGGTGCAGAATACTGAAAACCTATTTTTCATTGATTAGTTCTGATTATTATTGGTCACCTTGCGGTTTTCTTGCTCCTAATCATAACCCTAACCCTACCTCCTGCATTAGCTTCTGACAGAAAATAGACAGTGAAACTATAACATTTGAAAAGTCTGACAGATCTACGTCACACTGTCGCTTAACTTTCATGGACTCACCCATCTTGACTCACGACGGAGAAGGTGATTGCTGGTGTAGCGCCCGGGAAACAGTAGAGAACGTCTCGGCTAGTAGAAGCTAACCATTATTCCTATGTGAGAATGGAAGCATCAGCAGGATGGCAGTGGGACGTCGCTGCTTCAAAAATAATTCATTGTAGTTTATGGGGTAATTCAAACCAGCCGTGATGCAGCAATTTTCAGGCGTGTCCCAGAAGTGGCACGCTGCGCCACTAAAGATAGGGTTAGGTTCTTTTTTTTTCTTTCTTTTTTTTTTTTTTTTGCTGCGAGCCGCTTCTGGGACGGGTCAATTCCACAGTTAACATAGGAATAGATGGGAAATCACACACATTTTCAAATCCCCAGTAATTTTCTAAATATGAGTATTGCAGCGATGCAATTTCAAATATGTAGCCTACATGTGACCTAATGGCATATTTAGTCCCTTCATCATTCGAGGAGTGCATCAGTGTGTTTTTAATGGCTTTAGTCCTGGCAGTGGAGAGGAACAACATCACATATGACATCAAGTTTCCTTTTGTATTGTTGTTTTAACCCTTTGATGCATAATTGTCACTACAGTGGACAGGTACTCCAATTTGTTATTTCTTTATTTTTGCTATTAAGCACAGCTGTTGAAGACTTTATTGCATGTGAGCCCCTCCATTTGGACTTCAGTAAGTCAAGCCAACATATTTCATGTTCAGAATGCACGTTGTCCACTGAGATGGACATGTAATAAATAATTTGTAAATTAACAAAATGTTACAAAAATATTTGTTGAAATTTGTTTCATTCACACCTAAAGATGAATGAAAAAAATTGTTTAAAAAATCATGGTTGAAGATTTCATAATTCATGCATCAGAGGGTTAAGTGCTTGAAGGTTGCAATAATGGCTTATTTCCTTTGTGTGTTTATCTATAATCTTATTACCATGTTCTTCCTTTTCAAGTGTGCTGCTGTAGTAAGTGAATGTCCCCACTGTGGGATTAATAAAGTCTATTCTATTCTATTCTATTCTATTAACAGCAATATCAAGTGTGATTTACTTTGTTTAATGGTGGCTTGCATAAACAAACTGTGACCTTTGAACTTTTGAGGGAACTTGTGATCTTGCAAGTTAAGCGAGGAGCACCAGGAGGAAGCCATTCTACGACTAAAACTGTCTTGGTGTGCACTGGACCACGTTGAAGCTTGCGAATAAACCTTTCCATTGCCGTTCCGTGCTGCTGATAGCATGAGTAACTCCACCACACAGCAGAACTCCCCCAGGCTTGTGTTATTTGTGGCGGTAAAACATCCATTTTGCAGAGCAAATGAAGCCAGTGGTAGAGCCATGTTGCTGTTTTCCAATCTGAGGTGAGATGTTCAAAGATCAGGAAATAAGACTCCAAATCCTGCCGCCTTAAGCTCTGCTGTGATTGAGCTTTTTTCCACCTCCAAGTACAATCTGCAAGGCATTCATTCCTACTAGAGACTGCAAATGTGTTGATTAAATGAGTTTTCCTGCACCTTTAAATAAATAAATACCATGTGAAAAAAATTCCAATAATTGATCAGTTACCTAACAAATAGTTGTTTTTTTAGATTCTTAAATAAAGTCATTATTTTTCGTGGCAGCTTACATCAACTTAAAAACAAATTTTCTTTGGTTCATTTTTTGTTGTTGTTGTAACAACGATTCTTCATAACTAATTAACTCTTATCTCTTCGTATATTTTTAGAAACCCATAATAATCACCTTTATTATGAGATAACATTTGTAAGAATTGTGCATCTGTTTAATGAGCAGCAAAATTACATTTAGGTAATAAAAAGAAATTCTGCCAATGTCCATTTATTATTTAAATTGGAATTCAAACCTGCAACCCTCTCGTTGCATGGCAACAGTGCCACCAACCGTCCTATAACCCAGCATCTCATACCAAAAAACCTCACCTTTACTGATTTGAGTATGAGGTGCTGTTGTGGCTCGGTGTGGATTTTCCACATGCTACTGAGGTCCTCAACAGTGTTAAATGAATAGAATCAGGTTAACATGTGTTTTGTTCCTGATGACTGGGAAAGGCAAAGCATCATGCAAAAAGAAGCTCAAAACAAAAGCTATTCAACAATGCATCATTCACCAACAAGAAGCCTTGTGACAACAAAAAAAAAACATCTAGTAAACTCCTTCTACTTTTTGTTCTAAATGTATTATTTGATACAATCTACGGCCACATAAACAACAGCTTTTATATTTTTCTTGTGTTGCATTTCCTTTACTGGCAATTTTATACTGTTGTTAGTTTGGACAAAAAAATATGTCCAGATTATTTCCTTTTCCTTCTCTCTACTTCGACCTTCAAGTGCAACATTCAGTCACAGTTATTATGAAATCTTGAGATGGCTCAAAAATCGCTGCAATCTGAGAGTTAAAGGTGTGTCTCTGGTGGAGTAAAGCAGTGGAAAAGAAGACATTAATGAAAGCAAACGGGTGTAAAGAAAAACAAGATGAAGAATGACAGGATGAGACGAGAGGAAGCAAGGTGAAGAGATAGGTTTGTGAGAGGCGGCTCGTGTTATCTCAAGATCGGTATCAAGACCGGACAAGCTCCCAGCTGTGTGGATATCAGCCTTTTACCTGAGCACCCCGACTGTGATTTACTCCCACCTCAACCAGAGACTCATTTCTTATTCTTGTTTACTAACGTCTGTAATCCATCTCTCACAGTCTCCGCATTCAATAAATCCACGAGATAGTGGAATCTGTCAGAGGAGATATCGGCCAAATCCTCCATAAGAGAATAGAATCAAACGGTTATTCTGAGAAACGAGCTAAAACATTTGTTTGAATGAGGCATTGCAATGTTTATCTGCAACTGGTGAAGAGCCATAAAGAACATATTGATTGTTATTGACTCTAACAGGTGGGATGTTTTATTAACAATTGTCAGGTTTTAAATTTAAGCTAGCTGGGGGGGAAACCCCACCAGAGCCGTACCAACTAACTCATGTACTATTTAGTCTGATGTTGCAGTATTCATGAATCGCAGTGCGTACAACGGGGCAAAAAAAATGAGTCGCAGAAGAAGAAAAATAAAATCCAGAAAAAATGTATTTGTAAATTATGGTGGGAATTAAGCTTTTGATTTCCTACAAACGCGCAATATTTTTGGTTCTCACAGACCTGTGAAGTCTTCTTTAAGAGGTTCCTCTGTCTTCCACTTATTACCTCCAATAACTGGTACCTGTTGGCAGTCATTGTCAATATAAAAGACACCGGTCCACAACCTCAGACAGTTATGTGCAAAGACCTAGTTTGGACGTCCTACAGATGTGGTCTGGACCGACAGACTCAATATAGACATAAACTGCATATCAACGCGACGTTGACTGTTTGCAGAGACACTCCAAACTCAACTGTGGTCAAGACCAAAGATCTGGCCAAGGACATCAGAAACAAAATTGTAGACCTGCATCCAGCTGGTAAGCAGCTTGGTGTGAAGAAATCAGCTGTGGGAGCAATTAGAAAATAGAAGTCATGCAAGACCATTGAGCATCTCCCTCGATCAGGGGCTCCACGCAAGATCTCATCCTGTGGGGTCAAAATGGGTCAAGGATGGCGATTTTTTTTAGCTTAGCTTCTAACTGATTACTACTTATCTAGTCTGTTTAACTGTATCACCTGTCATGTTTGTTTATTTATATATACCTATTTATCTCTTTTACTTAATTTTATTATTTTATTTACATCTTAGTGTTTTTACATGATTATGTTTCTTTTACTATCTTTATAATCAATTTTTATCAGTTACTTTCTATCCAAATTAGCTTTTGTTATTTACTGTTATATATTTTAATCCTTCAGTGTTTCCTCTGCGGAGCCCTCTGCCTTGGGACCGGCGGTCGGCGGCGGCCGGGGCGCTCCTCGGGTAGTGCCCGGGCAGTGGTGGGGGTCTCCGCCCTCCCTCCCTGGGCATCATGGGCCAGTGTCTTGGCTGCTGCCGTGGATCTGTTGCTGTCAAGGCAGATGGCTCCGCTGATAATGTGTCGTCCATTACCTGACCCATCTGAACTCAGCCTATTGTTTACTCTGTTGTTAACGTGTGTGTGAGTGTGTAAGTGTGTGTGTGTGCGTGCGTGCGTGCGTGCGTGTGTGTGTGGGTGAGTGTATGTCCACCTTGGAAATTGGTTGCGGGAGGGGAACTGCAATTGTCAATTGTTTTATACTTGCGGAGGGGGGCTGGGATGGGAATATGGGATCTATGGGGCCATTTTAA